GGATGATTATAATTATTAAATGTTTTTCATAAAAATTAATTAAATAAGAAAATAAATTATAAATGTAATTATGGATTATAACTGCTAATTCTTATACCTGAGAAAATATAATTAATTATAATTACTAACTTCCTTTTTTTAAAGTTGAAGTACAAAAAAGGAATGTAACATATTTAATTAAATATTGCCCAACCTTGCTGCTATGGTTGTTAAATAGTCGAGTTCATTCGACTCCGACTTAGAGTAGGTAGTCGATTTAGTCGACTTAATTCACAACTCGAGTCGTACGAGTCATGAACTTGGGGACGAATGGTTCATAATTATTATTTTATTTAAAAAATATATATAATATGTATGAAAAGAGGTGGAGTAAACAAAAAAGGAAAAAATAAATAAAATTTCTTACTTTCATTTCTAAGTTTTTAACGATAAAAAATATATTATAAAAATAAAAAGCTAGCACCATTTTATATAAAGAATAAAAAATTAATATTATTTTATTTTAAAAATATGTTTTTATGTTACTCTTATTTTAGTTATTTTTTTTTATATTTATTTTTTTAATAATTATTAATTTACTTTTAATTATAAATGGCTATTTTTTAAAAACTTTTTAAAATGATTTAGAAATTTTTTTAAAAAAAGTTATAAGCAAAATAAGAAAATTTATATTATAGAAGAAATGAGGGTTTTACAAAATATTGTCGGATGTACCACCTAGGGATATAACGGCAAGTAAAAAAAATGACAAATTAGTGAGGCAAAAGTTTCCCAGATTTTGAGTCTTTTTTACTATCAACTCTGATTTGGAGAGTTGAATGAACTTTACTTTTTAATTAACAAAAGGTTAAATTAAGGATTCTAAATTTAAATTATTTAGACTAGAGGTGGGCGCGGGCCTAATTCTTCATTCACGACCCGCCCGCTCACAACAAGCAATATTTTAATTCACGCCCGAAAATTCGCGGTGTTTTTAAATTTTTAAAAACTATTGCTATAATTTTACACTTTTTTGAATTCATTCTATTATTTCTCTAATTTCATAATCCATATTAATAACAAAAAATAAATATAATCTATAAATCGAAATTTATTTAGAAAAAGAAGAGTGTCCATCTTTTTTTATTTCAATTGTGTACGATAAGAGATTGGCTACAGTAAATAACTTTTCACTAGAAGCCGAACTTGCAGCTGACAAAATTTTACTCGATAATTTTCTCAAAAAAGGAAATGAAAATTCCTGCTTCCAAAACTTCAAAATATTGTCGTTATTTATCTTATATGAATCTTTTAAGTTCATCCTCAGAACTTTCATCGGTGATGTTGATGCTTCATCAGAATCATCTAGAAATTCTCTAAAAATTTTTTTTAGAATATACTGTCTTTTATGAGTGTAGGGTGAATTAGGAAAGTGATAGTTGGTATTGACCATTTAGAATATACGGTTTTTTATGAGTTTAGGATAAGTTAGGAAAGGTATAAATGATAGTTGGCATCGACTTATGCATATCATCTAATTTTATATCATTTAGAATTTTTATGATTGTTTTATATATATCATTTTCTTCTTTTATTTAAAACTTAAGTCTTTTGAAATTCGGATCTAGAATTAAGCCTACCTTATGTAGTGGCTGCATAATAATCTTTTAAAATAAATCTTGTTCTGTATTTTAAGGTTTTGATTATTATTGTATCACGTTTAGAAGGTTAACAAAATTTTATTAATTTTTGTTTCCATAGAAAAACTTTATTTATTGTGGAACGAGAATCTGCTCTCAAATTATCCGAGCATTCTTTAAATATTGATAAAAATTTATCTAACTCGCGTATGATACTGATATCAATTGTGACTAATCTATTTAATTTTTGCTTGCTAAACAAGTACACCTGTATTTCAGAATATGATTTTAAGAAACTCTGTATCATGATATATACAGAGTTCCATCTCGTTATTCTCGCTATTACATCTTGTTTAAGGTGTGGCTTAGTTTGATATTAGCTGTAGATTTTTTGAAATATTGTACTATTTTTTTATACCATTTATATTTAAGGCTATTTCAGTTAAACAATTGTCAAAAATATAATGCATAATATTGTTTAGTATTTGGCATATACATGCTAGCGTTTCGTCATCTTTGAATGCACTTATAAGATTTGCTCCTTTATCACTCACAACTATACATTTATTTAAGTAATTTTCTACCTCTGTATATTCTCCTAAAATTGAATTGACTACACTTTTAATTTTGACTTTTTTTTCATCCATTGCCCTTGTGACCAAAACAAATGTTTTCAATTTAAAATCCTTAATGATAATATGTCCTGTAATGGTTAAAAAACTTATATTTTTATAGTCATCCGTCAAATATCAGTGATTATGGACAAGTAATTATTATTGATCATGCTTTTAATCTTAAAATTTATTTTATGGTATATTTTTGGACCTATAGTATTCATGAGTGTTTTCCGGTTCACAACTTTTATATTTTGTTATCCATATGTAACACCAACATTTATCTCTTTGCCTAGATTTAAAATCCTTCACTTTCTGTTGCATTTAAAGATTGAAGATCTTTACAAATAAATTATAACTGACTTTTCTGTAAAAAGTTTAAGCAAAATTTAGCATAAAGTCTCGCGATAAAAAACACCTAAACATAAAAAGAAAATAGGACTAACAAAATGATACCGGATGTTGTTTATAAAATGCGGAAGATTTTTAGTTTTCATAAATTATTCTTTTTTAAAAAAGAACTAAATTAAATAAGAAAATATCTATAATTATAAAATTGCAAATTTATATTTATAAAAAAATAATTTTAAAAATTAAAATTCCGTGATTCACGGGAAATTTATGTTCACGCCCGATCACGCCCGGGGAAAATTTTGGGAAGGCCCGTCACCCCTTGGAATTCAAAATTTATTCACTCTCACGCCGAATTTCACGGCCAACGCCCACCTCTAATTTAAACATCTTATTTGATTTTAATTCTGATTAAAATTAAAATCAAGTAACGTGACGTGATTTATAAAATATTAGCCAGGCGGGTCTTCCTATATTTTTAATTTTTTTTTATTTCTAAAAAAATGAAAATTAGGGATTATTTTTTTAATTTAAGGTAATTATGAAATATTCGTCCTCAAGTTTATAACTCAAGTCAGTTTTGGGTCAACAGCTTTCGATTAGGCAACTTGACACAGTAGATTAACAAAACTATTCGCTGCATTGTTATACAAATAAAATTTCTCTTTTACGTGTCTATTTGTTTATAACTTTATCATATCCTTGTTGTGGTTTATTCTTATTGAAATAATGATTGCTACATGTTTATTTGAGTTCCATACAAATAAAATTAGCTAAAATAACGGAAAATTTTATATTATTTCAATAAAATATTTTCAAGATTTTTGAAAATAAAACTTTAAAACATGAGATGTGGTAGATTACGGAAGCAGTAGAATTGTTAATTGAATTGGGTTTGGTAAATTTCGACTTAAAATTTTTTGATTAATCAAAGATAAGGATTAAATATAACATTCCTGATCTAAATTGCTATTGCTATTCATCTTTATTTAAACGAAATATCTTTGCAACAAATTGTTGATTGAACCTAATCTATCATTCTGGATCTCCATTTCTGCATTTCGATTATTGTCAATAAGTTTTCTATGCTTAATTAAAAATTAAAAGGTGTCAAAAATTTTTACCAAAATATTCAGAAAGATTTTATATTTTAAAATATTAATATATTTTTTTTAACCGGGCTCTATTTTTTCGGACAGATAAACTTGAATGAAATATTTCATCCGCCCAAACTTTTTTTTAATTTTATCAAAAAAATTAATTATCGATCGGAAAACTTTTTTTAAGGGCCGCAACGGAAAAACTTAAAAATTAATCTTGTCAGTTTATCCGAAAAATCATTGAATATTTCTCTAATTATACCTTTTGATTAATTTTGTCAAAATAACTTATAAAACATTATTATAAGAAATTTTGTATTAATCTCTTTGTTATATATTGTTTTGGAGGTAAGCTTAATACTTCCAGTAGATTGCTTAAAACCAGAGACCTACATAGGTACGCCGGGATTTAAAAAATTTTTCACCCCGACCTGGATTTTTTCAAAATATATCACATGTATTCTTTAATTTTTATAGCTAATAATGACGATTTAAAATATACCGACCCGGATATTTAAAATTTTTTTTGACCTGACCCGGGTATATTAAAAAAGCTAAAATACGGCCCAGCCACATACCCAGGCCGGGACTGCAGGTCTTTGCTTAATTTTAAATAAATCATTATACGGCCAGGTAATTTTGGCTGATTTAAACACTTTATTTAAATGATTTTCCAATTGATGAATAATTTATACAATTTAAATATTTTTTTAAAAAAAATCTGCTCGATGCGCATTTTTACTTTTGGGCCCACCCCGGATTCTAATAATTAGACGTAAAATATTACACGAGAAATGATTCATTTTTTAAAAAAAATGATAAATATTATATAATATCTAAAAAAAACACTACAAAAAAAACAAATTTTTAAATTAAAACGTAAATAAAAAAAAGGAATAATTATTGCCGCGCCCCCACGTATTTATTTTCCTTCCAGGTGATAAGCGTAAGCATCTAAATAAATTATTTATTTATTTTTGGATTGTGCCTTCCTGAAATGTAAGTCTGACATATCATTATTAATTTCACAATAAATTTTTTTCTTAAAATAGGATTTCCTCTTTATTTTTATAAATCCCTCATAATATTTAACTATTTAATTTCTTGTTATTTGTAAATACCCTCCATATTTTAAAAATAATAATCAATATAAATCTCCCAAAATTAATAATTCTATCAATAAATTTTTGCCACGTAACGTTTGCTATTTTCCAGGAAAAGATTATTATAAATATTTATTTTTGACAAGTCATTTCTATTTATTATTTTTTTATTAAGTAATTGATAATTAAAAATTGAAATTTCCACTAATATTCATGGAAAACGGAACTAATATTTCCAAGTAAAATAATTTAATTTTTAAAATTTTTATTTATTCATTTTGCTTAGAGCTTGTATGTGCACGGTCGATAAAGACACTGTGTACAACAAAATATCGGCTATAACAGATCAAATCAAAAAATGTTTGCCTCCAAATTTTATTCCGACTGTTGGAATTATCACTGGAACAGGACTAGATACCATCACTTCGCGAATAACAGACAGTGTTACCATTCCATACCAAAATATAAAGGGTCTTAAGTTTAGTAAAGGTTTGACTAAATTTAGAAAAACTTTAAAAAAAATATTCTCTTCTTAGTTAAAGGTCATTCGAATATGATAATCGCGGGGAAAATAGGTGCCCATAATGTTGTGTGCTTCGTAGGACGGTGTCATTTCTATGAAGGATATCCCATGAATGTAGTAAGTTATATGCTAAATTATGATTTTTTTTAAAAAAACCAAAATTCACTTTAAATTTAATGTCTGTCTCATCCTCATCGTGAAGGTTACAGTCCGGTCTTTAGTCCAGACTGAACCAAAGTCCTCAGATAAAAGACCGATCCAGCCCATGGTCTTAAATAAAAAAAACAATCTTTTAATTTTATTACTTTAAATTTTATCTAATTTAATTATTGATTTGTCATTATATTTAAAATAATATTTTAGGTTAACAATATCAAATCAAATATGAATAATATAAATATATAATTAAAAAATAAAATATTGCTTTACAATAGGGGATCGAAAATTTTTTCTTATTATTTCCAAAATGACCTTTTTTTAGCGACTTCTTTTTTTAGCTGATATTTTAAAATTTCCAAAATTATTCAGGGGGCACGAGCCCATGTGCCCCTGATATGATGATACTTTCTATTACAAAATGAACGAACTAAAAAAGAAAAAGAATCGCAAATTACTAAAAAAAATCATAAGTAAAATAGTAAGACAAACTAAATATTAATAAAAGACCAGTTCGGGCGGAAAAATAGTTAAAACCCGGTCCAGACTACTCGAAAAAATACAGGTCCGTCAATCGGTCTCAGGCTAGACCAAGATCGTTATCTTCACTAATTACAAAATTAATTGTTTACAAAATTTGATAAATAATTTTATCAAATATCAGTGTACAAAACAGGCATTCTACCAACCGACCATCTCAGATTTTGTTAAAATTTGGTAAATAAGTTAATGAGTTGTAATTGACGAATCAAAAATATTAGCCCCTTAACTTTAATAAAACTAGAGATATAGAGTCTCAAAGTGGTTTTGCTTGGTCATTTTTCGAAGAAAAAGATTTTTTTTAAAATTGGGATAACTTTAATATTAGTTGCACTATATATATCTTTATGGCTTATTTTATACCCCTAAGTAAACTCTTGCACGTATTTTTAATAAAATTAAGTTTTAATATATAAATTTTTTTTAAATTGCGGTTAAAAATTTGTAATTAATTTTTTAAAATGTTAGTATAATTTTTTTTTTCCATATCTCAGATATTTTTTAGAGTAGCAAGAACTGTTCATATAAAAAATTTCAGAGTGGTAAAAAAAAATCATTAAAACAAAATTACCGCTAATGTCGCTAATAATTTATTTTTGTAAATATAAGTCAACTATATATAATATTTAACAAATAAGCAAGTAATTTAAAATATTTTTATTATTATTACGTTATACCACGGCCCAATATAAAACTAGGAAAAAGATTTCGCTATTCCAGCAGAATGGCATTTCTTTGCTACTGCGCATTGGAAAAGTGCTTGCAGGGGACTATTAAACTCTTGGCTGCGCAAGCCAGTTTACAACCTTAAGTAAATCATATAAAGTCTTACAATTTCTTCAAATTCTTTGAATATAAAAAATAATTTTATTTTTCCTATGAAAAATACTAAGAGTAGCTAGAACTTTTAAAAGGTATAAGCAATATTTGAACTGTATACCTTTTATCTATGGCTTCCAGGATTGAATCAATAATCGCCTTACAAAACTTAAAATTATTTAAAGCCAATTTTTTAAGTTTTGATATTATAATGGTTATAGTGGGAGTGAGATATCCCAAATGCATATTTTCTTCGCTCTCTAAAATTGAAAGAGCCGTAGCTATCGAATACATGGTTAAATAATAAGATTCTATATATATAGTATTTTAATAATAAAATCTATAATAAAATTAAATAAAAAAAATTTAAATCATTTCATGATTAAGTTTTTTAAATGTTTAAAATAATTATATATTAATTCATTCTTTACCTTCAAATGTTTTTTTAAGTTTGAGATACTTGACATTGACGATGAAATATTTGCGTTGGGACATAATTTACATTTACAAAGTGTAGACTTGGTACCATTAATTTTCTTAATTGGTTTAAAATATAATTCAAATTGGGGCCAGGGAAGGGTTAAATCTTCTTCATCTGAAGAAGTAAGTACCAATAATATTCTTTTAAAATAAATAAATTAATAATATATTATATTTACTTTGAATTTTGATTGAATATTAATTTCGACTGATAATTTAACAAATGTTGGAAGTGGTTGATATGAATTAAAAATCGGTTTAAATTATTAATATTAAGAATTAAAAAATAAATAAAAGTAATTTTATAATACAATAAAATATGTTATTCTTTTTATTGATATTTTTAAGAAAAAATATAAAGTAACGAGTAAAGTAATGTTTTGCGTTACCGTTACTCAAAAAAGAAACGCGTTACCGTTACTCGTTACCTTTAGTTCCCTTTCTTCAAAAAAAGTAACATCGTTAGTAACGACGTTACTTTTTTGACGTTCACTAATATTTAGTGCATCCAATACTAAAGTTATCACAATTTAAAAATATTTTTCAAAAAATGATTAATCAGAGCCACTTTGAAACCCTTTATCTCCGGTTCTAGTAGAGTTGATTGCGTTTTAACATTTGTCAATTGCAACATGTCATTAACCTATATACTAAATTTTTAAATCTGAGATGGTCGGATTGTAAATTGTTTGTATGGAATGACCCCCCTACCAAATCAAATTGGTAAGCCCATATCCTCCTACTTCCCCATCAATTTCAATAACGATTTGGCGTCACCCCCCTCCATCGTGATGTGATTAAGTGCCTGCTCCAAGATACCTTATTAAAATTATTTATTTAACAAATTTTAAAAAATCATGCTTCTCCTAAATTTAAACAATAGGAAGATAAAAATATTTTATTAAATGGGTAATTAAAATAAATGTAATCTGTGGGTGCCTGAACACGCGACCAGATTCGGTTTAAAAAAATGTTAACTAATTTATTGAAGTTTGGACTAAGAAAAGTATGAATAAATGAACTCTGCTAGCCTCGATCCACAGGCGTGTGCCGGGCGAGCGAGTTAATTTATTTATATTTTATTCAAAGTTGGGATATATTTTCAAAAACAACCTAGGCTGAGATATAAATTCTTGATAAAAACTAAAATAACTTTAACCGACTAAAAATCAGTTAAACAGCTAAAAATAGAGAAATTATCCAATTATAATGTATAGAAACGGTGATAAATGTAAAAAAAAATATAATAAAAACAAAAGGTTACAATGCCGGTAAGAATCATGAAACTACTCGGTGTTAAATATTTATTCGTAACAAATTGTTGTGGTGGAGTCAATCCATCCTATAATCTGGGCGACGTAATTGTTATTAAAGATCACGTCAATTTAGTCGGTATGGCTGGGCACAATCCGCTGGTAGGGGAAAATGATGACCGGTAATTTTATTTCAATAATTTAAATATATAGCTAAGAACATTTTTTTTTAGTTAGCTCAGGTAATAAATTACCTTGATTATTTTAAAAATTATGAGATATTTATAATAATTTGTTCTCAAATTATATATATTTTATTCATATTCGAATGAATATTTTTTGATAAGCCAAGTTTAGAAGATTTCATTTAAAAATTGAGTCATTATTTTATCCAGAAAAATATTATGCAAGTGAAGATTTTGCTCATATATGGAACAAAGGTTTCAACATCTATTGAAATATCAAGGCATCGGCATTCTAATTGAGCTCATTTTGAAAAACCGGCTCAAATGGAGCAATTTAGCATCTTAAACAACAAAACATATTATTTTGAAAAATACCTTATTTTCGTATATTTTTTTTACTTGTATCTAAATATTTTTTTATTAAAAAAAGAAACCTTCAAGTCAAAATACTAAGATTTAAAAAATCCGGTCAGGGCTTACCATTTAACTTAGTCAGGGCCAAAAAATAACTTACAAAAAAATATTATAAAATCCGGGCGGGGTCGATTTAACAAAAATTAATTTATATCAATTACTATAGAAATATCATATAAACATTCTTCATTTGCTTCTCATATTTTTTAATTTTTTTTAAATAAAAAAAAATTGTTTGACGAAATTTAGTAATATAAAGAAGACTCTGTCCATGTTAATTTTTTTTAAAATAAAAAAAAATTAGAGAAGAGGCTGGGCTTGAAAAAATCAGGCCTTATATAAGATTAAATTAAAAAATACTATTTTAAATTTTTTTTCTTAATTCGTAAAATTAAAAAATTGATCACATAGTGGTATAATAACACTCTCATATCAAACTTAAACTGGGTAAATTAAAAACAATTTCTTTTCTACCAAATGTATATTATAATCTGCCTCTATAGTGGCGATGGGCAAATTTTGGAGAACCCCCCTTTGAAGATAATATTTTAGATATGTATTATCTTTTCCTTTTATTAATTTTAGATAGAATTTCCTTTTATTTTTGCTAATTTTACAAATTTCTATTTTTTAATTTTACACAAATTTTGGTCTTATTCCTGCCGTAATCTGTTAGAAGTGTTCTGGTCAAAAATTCACAAGATATATACCTCTGGGCAAAAAGACACCGGACAAAATTTTTTAAAGTTAAGAAAAAAGTTAAGGTTTTAAAAAATATTAATTTCTTCCTCATGGATGTTTTTCTTCATTAAAAAAATATTTAACTTATGATAAAGGCAACCGCTGTGCACTTTTGCACAAATTTATATAAAAAAACCATGTACATATATGGAATACTGGGGAAATGTTTAGATTTTGGCAAAATCGATTGCTAAGGGTTTTTCATGACAAGGCTTGATGTGAGCTAGAGGTAATAAGCAAATTATGTGCAATAGACACTAAATTCATTTCAGACTAAGATATAAGCTTGTGAACCGCGTTAGCGCTTAGCTTAAAGCTATGCAACATAAGGATTAATGCTTATATTAAATGAGTAATATAAATTTTATTAGACATAAAACTCACTACATTTGTTAATAAGTTTTTTTTAGTTTTTATCAAACTATGCGGCTCAGGCTAAGGCCTGATACCAGGTTTGTAACCGCCTTAGCGGTTAGCTTAGGGCTATGCAATAAAAACAAGTGTTGATGTTTATATTAAATGAGGGGAAATACTAATTTTATTAAACACCACTACATCCGGTAAAATCTAAAATATACTTCAGCCAATAATTTTCTTCTAGTTTTTGTCCAACTAAGCGATGATAAGGCTTACCAAGCACATGAACCGTGTTAGCGGTTAGCTTAGGGCTATGCAGCCGAGATTACGATTAATGTTTATATTAGATGAGAAACACTAATTTTACTAGAGATTAAACCAACTAAATTCGATAAAATCTAATAGATACTTAGTTTTGTGTAAAATAAATTAATATTTTTTTTAAATTCTCGTTTCTAAGCATTAATATTTAAATTAAAATGAAGCTATTTTTTCCGATGTCTTGTCCAGAGTTTTTTTGGTTGATATTTGTCTCTAGGACTATGTCCGGGATTTTATTTCCCTCCTCTCCTTTCATTTAAAAAATTTAGTAACGCCACTATTACTTAGGTTACAACCTTCTGCCCAGAAAATAGCTTAATTTTTTTAAATAATCGAAAAGATTTGCTGAAATTAGGATCGCGATATCGAAATATTAACACATGATTATAATAATATATTTTACCAAAATTAACATAGATGGGGAACCAGATTTCCTCATTTATTCAATGCGTACGATTTCGATCTTCGAATGAAAATTGCAAAAGTATGTCAAAAATTAGATTACCCATACAGAGAAGGAGTTTATTGTATGAACACAGGACCTACTTATCAAGCCAAAGCGGAAGGACGTATGCTTCTTAGAGTGGGCGTAGATTTAGTTGGTAATTAAATTTATTTAATATTTTTGCTGATATTATCCTTTGATTGTCAAATAATATGTTGGGCTTTAAATTTAATATATAATTAATTCACCTTATTTATAAAGGATAATATCACGTTTTAGCACATTATACTTTAAGACTTTTTGGCTTATTTACGATTTGAAAAATTTTAAGTCATATTGTTCCCTTCAAAATAAAAACTAATACTCAATAATTAATCATTTAGCTTTTGTAGGGTCAGAATTTTTTAAAACTTTATGTAATAAAAAAGTTTCTCGATTGCATTGCTGATAATCACTCTAAATCCTCAAAGCATGTCTAGATTTTGGTGGCTTAATTTTTTTCAAGAGAGCAAGCATATTATTTTGACATTGGATATATGTATATATATAAAACGAATAAAACGATCTTTTGCTTGTTTATCATCACACTAGGTCTTAAAAAATTGTTCAATATAAATATCCCGAGATAAATAAAATATTAAATTATCGTTGAAATTTTGATATTGTTAAATAACCGAAGCGGAATAACCGTAAAATAGGAAAGAATCTTAAACATTTTAAAAGCTGTACCCGAATCGGCATAAGAAAATATAAATGGATCGAACAAACTTTTTATAGCTGATTCTCAGAGACCTCTTTATTTGAAATACTATGCAATTTATATTTTGAATTATAAGGTTATGGTGGATTTGGCCTTTTAAACTCTGTATGTATATGTGTAATTGAAATAAATTAAATTTAACCTTATTTTTGATTTATTTGTTAGATTTTAAGAGAATCAACAGGGGACTTGGAATTTATAATTCTGATTGGAAAAAATAAAAATAAATGACATATTTTATAGTGATAATTTTATTTAAAAAAATGTTTACAAGGGATGAGCACTTTACCCGAAGTCACAGTGGCAGCTCATTGCGGAATAAAAGTTTGCGCTTTTAGTGTGATTGCTTCGGCAATCAAATATGATGAATTCTCTTATGAAATATTAAAAGATGAAGGGGACGATAAAACCAAAAGTATAACTTCTTAATTTTACACGTAGCATTTAATAATCAAATAGAGTTATGTAATTTAAAGGAGTTCATTTAATGCTATACAATTTTAAAATTATACTTTTTCCGTGCAATTATTTATTTGAGTAAATGTATCTAAAAAGTTATACAATTTTTCCTAAGTAGCTATTAATTTTTTGAATCTAGTTTTTTATTCAAATAAAATTTGCGAATATCAATAATTAGTATATTCTAATATTATTCATATATTCGTTCTAACGAATATTTCAAATCATTTTTAAAAACCTTTTCACTACTCGTAGAAAAATACGATTTCTATAACTCCAAGAAATTTAAATTAGTATTAGAATGAGTATAATTAGTACCTAGACCTATATCCAAAGACTGGACCAATTTCTTTTAAGTACTTTAAAACCTCCATACATTTTGTAGTATATCACTCACGACCATAAGGGTTCAAGATAATGTTATTTTAAATTATTATTCTAATACGAGTAATAACCAGAGTTGTTAAAGGATCTTGATACAAGTATCTAGATCCTGTATCTAGATATAAAAATGTGATATCTGTATCTAGATAGATTTTTGATTAAAATATCGATATCTAGATATTATTTTAGACGATGTATCTGTATCTAGATCCATTTAAAAAGTATCTTTTAACAACTCTGGTAATAACGAATCAGTTAACCAATAATATTCTATCCGAATATATTAGGTCTCAAATAAATTATTAGAATATTTTTTTAGGAGCACTAATTCCATTTTATAAATGATTTAAAATTTATTATAAACCTTAATTATTTTAAAACATGAAATAGATGGTGGTTCATCAAAGAAAACCAACGAATATAAAGTGACGAAAAATTTGGTATCTATTGACCATGAGAGCGTCGTGAAGTCGGGTAAAAAGGGTGGTGAAATTCTGGGACAAATTATTAATGATGTAATTATGAGTCTCGATTAATATAAAAATTTAATTTCGCCGTTGCCACATTTTGAATTAATTTTTTTAAATGTCATAATTTATTATATTATTTTAAATTGTAAATGTATATTTAATCAATTTAGATATAAATATTCAATTTACTGTTGATTTTAAATAATATGACAAATAAAATTAGAAAATTTTAGTTAGAATTGTATTGTTTTTCAGGGCCCTCTAACTTGAAGGTGGGGGGGGGGGGATTATAAATCAATTCCTTTATTGAAATTTTGTTTTTTAAGGTTTTGGACCTTGGGATATCTTTCTGCATGCTCTTTCCCGCTTAAAATTATAATTTTTTTGATGATTTTATTAAAATTCTTTTATTGAAAATTATACATTCATTTACATTTAAATGCAAAAATAATTTTAAAATTAAAAAAACAACTAATAATATAAGTATATTGTAGCGATTCGTGCATCTGCTCTCGGCATACTAAAATTTTAAAGAAATTATTGGGGTCTAATTCAAACCTTTATTATTTATTAAAAAATAAAAAGTTATCATGTTTAAAAAAGAAGCAAACTACAAGGGCTGGTCTTAGTCCACTAACCGGTCTTCCATAATTGTGAAAGAATGCCATATCATACAGTCGATAATGGTTTTAAAATATTTTTTATTCGTTTATTTAACTTTTTGTAAAAGCGGCAGGGATAAAATCACGTCTGCCGCGGACCGCTATCCAACGCCCTCTAATATTTTATGATTATTGTTTATTTTTATTAGTTTTTTTTAAATTATAAACTTATTATTAAATTTAAATGAACATATTTAAAAAACAATATTACAAGAGCAAAAAAGGCAAGTATTTAGTTATATTTTTTTAAATAATAAGAATTGCATGGTCAGGACAAGAATCTTTAAATAATTTAAAATTGTGGCGTATGATTTCAGAACTAATTTTTTGTTTGATTGAAAAGACCCTCGAAATTGTTCTTTTTGGACTCTTGGATGATGAGCTTGATTATAAATTTAGCCTCTTTTCCACATAAACGGTTTGTAAAAAGCACAATTTGTATGAATTTATTGTTTTCATTCAGCTAAGGCGAATATTTTTGAGATTTTCTTTCATCAGTAATTCCTAATGAATCGCAATTAGTATCGGCAAGAATGATTATAAAAATTTGTGCACATATCACAGGGAGTTTAAGTATGTCCATCAGGTTACGAATTATTTATAACTGAAGGAATCTGATATTGTTTCCAATAAAATCTTAAATATTTTTATGAAAAATACTTTAAAAATAAATAAATTCATATAATAAATTTTATTATCCTTGGAAAATAATTAGTACCTTTTGAAGATATATATTTAAATTTTTTATAAAATCTTTAGAAATGAATAAATTTTAAAATATAAATTATCCTTGGAATATAAATAATATAACATTTTTTAGATGGAAATTTTTTTCGATAATTTCCAAGCATCCTTTATATTATTATTTATTTATAGAAATGAGAGGGGGATGCATTTCCTCACATTTGGCAAATTCACAAGTTTTCTTAATATAATTGTAAGTCGACAAACATTTTGATCTTTTCTATACCCTCCCCTCTAGAGGTCTGCAGTTTTTAGCCAGCCCAGACCCGCGCCCATACATAGGGCAGGCCTGGTCGTGTTTTCTAAAATATTTTTAACATTGGGAGGGTAAAAAAATTTTAAATAATGTGCGGGCGTGGGTAAGTGAATTTAATATTTTTCAGGTGAAATGAGCAGAACAGACTTCAATTTATTAAAAATAATCGTTTTATTACAGAATGTTGCATATTATATATGTTTAAATTAAAAATACATAAAATAAATAAAAAGCCAAACCAGCCATTAAAATATTTTTTAAAGATTTGGCCGGAATGTTAAACAAAATTTATAGATAATTGTGGGGGGAAGGGGGGGGGGTTAAATTTTTTTAAAACAAAACAAGTGTAAATATGACACTTATAATTTATAAATTTACATTTTTATACAAAGAGTTTAAAACCAAAAATATTTTCTGAAAAAAAATTGTTACCAGCCAGACCACTCTTCCAATTAAATTTATGGGGAAAAACCTTGTGCTTCCCATCTCTTATCTAAATCCTAACTACGCCTATGATGAATATAATATATATCAAATAATATATTATACTTTTTTTAAAGGTAATCACCATTTTTACTTCCGTATTTATATGTAGTAAAATCGTAAGATTTGAAAATCGTGATTAGTCTTAAAAAATTTAAATTATAGTTGAAAATTTTGACTGGGCCTGACCACAAAAAATGGATTATTAAATCCTGAGAAAAAATCGCCAGGTATTGAAAAGGAATTTATTTAATGCCAAACCTATTGGGTACTTCTGTTAGTCTTCTTAGATAATTTTATGTTATAATGTATAAATATTGTAATGAATTAATTTTATTCAAGTTGCCCAAATTCTTTTTACGTACAATCAAATTTTATAAGAATATTATTTTACATATAGTTGATTATTATTATTAAAAGAAAAGCAAATTTATTTTAAAATCAATTTAAGTCTCTGAATATGCAAAAATATTAAAAGAGTAACAAACTTTTTTTAAATATAAATTTTGTTAAATTGCATATAAATCAGTTAAAATATATCTAGAAAGATCAAAAATACTCAAAGGAATCATTAAAATTAGTTTAAGACAAAAAAAATGAAAATGTCACCTGTAAAAGAATCATATGGTTTTAATTGATTATTTTTACTTCATTTATATTTTGAGGTGTCGAAAATAAAAGATTCAATTAAAACATTTTTAAAAAAAATTAATTATTTTTATTGCTTATATTCAAAATTTCCTTTCAATTGGGTCAATAAACATTAGTAAGGATATGAGATTTAATTGCGATTTTCTCAGTTTGAACAACTATTTTTAGTAGTGTCTAATATCTAGCTATCTTAGAAAAAAACAGCGGTAGAGCTCTCATTTTTAGAGAGTAGCTAAGTAGCGTGCTACTTTACTTCACAATTATATATGATATATACACTAAAAAATACTAAAATTTATTTATAATTTCATATTTATACTTTTAATATTATAATCTTTAAATTTAATTTTGAAATTTATATTTTTAAATCTAATTTAAAATATAAAATGCCACCAATAGAGATAGACATGGAAGATGATGTAGATGCATAAAATATTATCTAATAAATCAAACCACTTCAGCTTAAAAAACATCTAAAGATATTCATAAATTTTAATAAAATTATTTTTTTAAATTACTACAAATTTTTACTATTAGGCCAAGATCTGTTTTGATAATGTCATTTCCAAAAATATTTTTAAAGTGATTGGTGGTGACTTAAAGGAAGGAAGTAAAATTTTTTAAGGCATCATAATTTCTATTAAAAGCAGATAAAAGCAAACGCCATATTCTCTGATAATTCTTTTTATCACCAATAAAGAATTATTATATCTCTCAGTCTTTTAAACTTTATTTTATCAATTTTTTATATCATAGGATGAAATATTTTGACATTTATTGCCCGAATTATGACCACATGATCAATGCACCAATATAGAGGATCATAATTGATTTTTCTATTTATTGCAATTCTGTCATACTTTGATTTTTGCGGAAATTTAGTTGTGTGCAGAATTGGACAAAAAGTTACAAATAGCGTTACGTTAAATAATATATCTTCAATTTTAAAAATATAACGAAAAGCTTCTTAACCGTTATATTTGTTTGTGAACTTAAAGTAACGTTTATTTCTCGTTACTTCTTAAACATTTTTTACGATTTTTTTAAACAAAAATGATTTTTCTGATATAAAAATATATTAAATCTTAAAATGAAATGTCTGATTGCATTGGTTAAGATAAAATAAGGGAATTCAATAGAACTGATAGGATTTCTTTATTTTCAACTTTTAATTGTGGAATATAGTTTTATAATATATTTATTTTTTAAACAATGAAAGCCATTTAAAAAGTTTCAGCATAGGAAGACGATGATAGTATTTTAAATGAATTGAAAAACACATTATTTAAAAGTTTCATTTAAAAAGACTATCACTTTTTTTATTATAACATACATTATATTAATATACAAGATAGAACCGATTAAAATGATTTTTTTTCCACAGTTGTAGTCTAGAAATAAATTGAAAGAATCCTATTTCTCGATCCGTCATTTGAAATTAATATGCAACTTAAATATCTAATAATATAAATATTTATTCATTACAATACAAATTTACCTAAGCCCTTATTTTGATTTGCAAATTTGATTGAAGGACCAAACAGGAGACGTGATGTTTTATTTGAAAAGTATTCCATTATTGAATGTTTTAAAATGATAATCTTTGATTTTTATTAAATTACAAAATAAAATATTAATAAATTAGTTTTGGCATCTTATCATCTTTTTATTTTAGACTTTACAGAAAAATGAATTAATAAATTATTTATCACATTTTTCTATTTTCACTATTCTTATTTTTAATCATGTAACGAGAGCTTATTTGTAACTGTTGCATGTTCTAAATAAAGGTAACATGACCATTAGCCTTTTTTTAAAGTGACGATAAAAAAAACTTCACCGTTATATTTCATAAAGGTAACCGTTGACTTTTATTAAGTAACATGCCCAACCCGGGTTATATACATATCATAGCATCAAATAATCTCTAAGACACATATTAAGAATAGATTACCATGGTTGGATTTATTATTATTTGCATTATTTTAACGTTTATTAGACTCCTCGCAATCACAAATTATATCACCAGTATTCTCATAATAGTTTGACTAATAAATCTTTTTAAATAAATAAAGACAATTCATGTAATTTGTCACTGATTACATTTTCTAATTGTGAAACTTTCTTCAAGACTTTTCAGAAACACCTTAGATATTTATTTCATCAAATTTTTCTAATAAAAATATTGCAAATTCGGTATACGTTTGTTCACCAAAAATCTTTCGCTTAACTATTTATAATTTGATCAATTGTAGGACGAAATGCTTTAAAAATAGAGATTAATCGGCTTGGGGCGTTTATTTTTGCATTCATCACTATACATTCTCCTTGTTAGATTTATTCTAGTTTTTAATATTTCATTTTATATTATCCAGATGCTATCTGGCAGCATTAAATCAAAAATATTTTCATTTAAATTTCTAGCCATTTTTATGGCTTTATTTTGAATGGTGAAGGTAATAAAAGATTCAGAAGATTTTGTATCTTCAATCATTTTTTAATCCGATACTTCTTCTAAGTTTTTAGTTTAAATATAAAATGAGAGTCGCCCCATTATTTCAAAAAAATCAAAGCAGATTTAACTTTTTAAATATGTCCTGATTCTCAATCAACAGGGTTTTTGCCTTATAGATATCGGGAGTGGCTACTACCTTGTACTATATATTTCCAAACTTGCTCATAATCTCCCCTTTTAATATTAAATTTGTAATTTTACTTAGAACCGCATTAATAACTTATTAACTGTTGTCTTTGACATAAAATTTATAGAGAACTTCTTACCTTGAATCAGGAGCCCAATGAGACAAGTTTTATTGTAGTATATATTTTTATAACTATATCCATCACCTTCACCATGTTTATTTATTGTTTAAAAAGGTAGTTAATTAAAAAATTTTAAACATAACATATACAAAATTAAAATATAATACTAGATTGGAATATAACATTTAAGATAAGTCAATAGAACTTAGTGGTCCTTGATTGAAACGGAATTAAAGTGACAGATTTCAATTCAGATCCTTCAATAGTAAAAAAAATACTCATTCTAGTTGCTGTGATTTGTTTAGCTTTTTTCCTATGATTTTAAAAATTTTAGGCTTGAGGGTTAAATTAGTTAATTGTGTAGGAAACTATGAAAACATAAGTAAGGTTATTCAAATTACTGTAATAGGGTTAGAATATATTAATATGAGATGATTAGGGTTAGATTGATATTTATACTACAAAAAGGTGCAGACCTAACTTTTAATTCATGATCCACCGGCTCACGTTGTTTAAAAAACATGTTTTTACGTCTGCCACGCCCGCAAAAATCATTTTAAATTATTTATTTTTTCTGAACTTTTTAAAAACATAATTATTTTATTTTATTTTTCTTTTATATTTTACATTTTATTCTATTTACTTCTTCCTTTAACTTTTTATTGATTCACCTCTTTATTTCCATAATTTTACACAAATAACAAACAAAATAAAATGATTATAAAATCGTTGAGCTATACATTTTTGCAGTAATTATAATTTTTATATAATATTGTTAATATAAATTTATTTTATTTATTATCGTCTTTACGAAGCCATTGATTAAAGGGAATAAGGTTGTTCATTAGAAACCGAATGGACAATGGGCGATAAAATTTTTACTGGATACTTTTTCCAAAAAAAACGAATTTCCCTTGACCCAAAATTTTAAATTATCTTTATTTTTTTTCCTTTATCGATGAATCTTTAATTCCTTTTGTCAACTTACTTTTGGTAAAAGTAGGTTATTCATCAGAATCATCTTAGAATTCTCTAAATGTTTCAATATGAATATTTATTTATTTTTTTTATGGGGGGAAGATGAATTGAAAAATTTTAAATGAGGGCTGGATCATACTCTTTAAGCAAGCTAAAATTAATTTAAATATTTAGTTTTTTCTGTATCTTATGTTGGTTTTTACTTTTAAGCATGCATAGTGGAATAGTGGAGAAAATTTTTAATCAAAAAAAATTATTTTATATACTATTTTATTCTATATGTATTCAAAACCAAAAAAATATATCATTACGGATCACGGCCCAGTTTTTATAAGTGGTCCGCGGTTCGAATTTTAGAATATCTTCCGCGGATCAGTTTGGTATTTGAAAAGGCTCCAAAACCGATCCATGAACTTCACCATAGACGTAAAATTAATATTACGCGAGTACGAGAACATTTTTTTAATTTTTATAATCTATAAAAATTATTTAATCAAAAATTAGACATAATAATATGTCGTTTGAGATATAGAAACCATGGAGATTCGGAAACTCCTAATTTTAAATCATTTAGTGAGAGTGATTTTTAAATTTGAAAAGCCTGATTTGATCGGAAATCTATTCCAACATAGGTATTATATATGAATTTCATATAATTAGAGCCATTTAATATTGTATATTTATTAAATTTATATGAAAAATCATCTTTATAAAAATGAATAGAAATTAAGGATAGTTGTTATAGGTTCAGTCTGAAATTCGCAGTGTGGGTATTCTTAATGTGCTGGACTGGAATGTAGTCAAATCATATTATTTTAAATTTAAAAATAGTCCATAGTAAATTATTTAAAATTGAGTTTCTTAATCCCCATATATTACATAATCTCAATAAGGGTTGGCAAATCGGTCAATTGACCTGTCAAATTTAGTCAATTGACTGGAGAAGTATCCTGGTCTAATACGCTCAAATATACTCTAACATGAAGAGAAAAAAAATTAAAATATGTTTGAAAAAAACGATATAAATACATGTTATCATATTGATGCTTATTTATTGGGTCTCTAATATCAAGAGCATCTTACTAATAGTGAATTTAATCGAGTATGTGATATAATAGAAGTAATAGACATTTTACAAGATGGCGATGATTAAATATTTCATATGTGGAAAGCAACTTCCATATAATCAGATTCTGGCTTTATGTTAGTGGAATAAGCTTTGCTCACCATGCCCATTAATAGGACATTTTACTAACAATTCATACCTGCTTCTCCTTCAGAAAGAAATTGGTCGATTATAGTCTTACTAAAACAGAAATCGATTGAAGATCTCGGAAACAGGAGAATTGATCAAAGTATTAAAAAAAATGATAATATTGTATGAATCAGAACAAGACTTCCACGGAGGGGAAAACATTAGTTATTTAATGACAATGAACTTAAAAAAATAATATTATAGATTCATTTTACTATTATATGCAAAATAATTAATATTGTCTTAAAAATTTATTTAAATTTGACCCGTCAAATATCGGTCAATTGACTACAAACGTTTGAAACTTTAAATGAAAACAAATATAAAAAAATTTTTAATATTTAACATACGACTTTATTAAATTTTAAAATTTGCAAAAGTTTTATTTTCAATTTTTTAAAAAAGATTTTAGATATATAGCCTTAAAATAAAATCTATTAAGCTAAAAAAACATTTATAATGAATGCACAAATTTTTACAATGAAAAAAAATTATACAATAGAATATTGATCATTAGGTTCATTGAAGGAAAAAATAAACTATAAAAAAAAACATTTTTTAAATTAATAAAAAATAAATAATATTATTGCCGCGCCCCCATGTTGATCATACCGTACTATTTCTTTTTTTAATAAATATTTTATCGAATTTGTGACATGGCTCTAGTAGTCTAGACTCTAGGTAATAATTAGCAATTAATTTTCATCTCAAAAACTAGTTGGTAAATAAATTCCCTCCATATCTGAAAAAAACTATAATAATATGTTATTTTTGTTGTAAAAAAATAAATTTATTTATTTATTGCCCATCACATCATACGATACAATAATGTATGTAATATAATATTGATACATGCTAAAAATACATAATTTTCATACATGATATAACAACAGAATAAATAATATTATTTAATAAAAAATTTTGCACGTACGTTGAATATAAGTATTAGTAAACAATTTATCATTTTTAGACGAATTATTTCCTTGAACTGATTTTAAATATATATTCTAAAAAAATTATAATATCATCAATGGTTATAGAAAACGGAAACGCAACTAATATTTCCAAGTAAAATAATCTAATTTATATTATTCATTTTTTAAAGTTGTTTATGTGCTGTTGATAAAGACATTGTGTACAATGAGATTACGGGTATATCAGTTGAAATTAAAAAACGTTTGCTTCCAAATTTTATTCCGACTGTTGGAATCATAACTGGAACAGGATTAGATACCATCACTTCGCGAATAACAGACAGTTTAACTATACCTTACCAGGATATAAAGGGTCTTAGATTTAGCAAAGGTTTAATTAAATCCATTAAAATAACTAAGATTTTTTTTTTAGTTGTAGGCCATTCTAATATGATAATCGCGGGGAAAATAGGCCCCCATAATGTTGTGTGTTTTGTAGGACGGTGTCATTTCTATGAAGGATATCCCATGAATGTGGTAAGTATTATTTTAAATAAATTTTGTTTTATATCTAAACTTAAGATGCCGTTCTGGATTTTTTTTTGTCATTGTAGAGTAACTCTAGCTTATTCAACTCAAGGGAGGGAGGCATTTTTATTTTTTTTAAACATTAACAAGGATAAGAAGTAATATCTAAAATAACCCAAAAAAATTTATTGAAACCAGCATAAAAAAAAAGGTTCAACCAAAAATTTGCAAAAGATAATTACGGTATCTCAATAAATTAATATTTTTCAGGGGGCTTGAGCCCTTATACCCACGATACTGCTTATAGATATAAAAGGAATTTCGAAATAATTTTGATACTTTATTTTTAATCAGCTGATAAAAACAATCTTAATCGTCCCACCAGGAAATTTATCAGTTTTCTTTAAATATTAATTTTAGCCAAAAAAGGTCTCCCTTACACTACTCACCTCCCCCTCCCTAAAAAACGAGTACAATATGTTATAAATAATACTTCCCAAAAAGTATAATTTAATAATTTTGTAAAATAATGAGCAATTATAAATTTTGAGAAAAATTGCCTTTAGCGTTAAAAGAGCAATAACTTACATAGGATGTCTGCAATGGGCAGGCTTTTAGCCCGCCCACGCCCATTTATTCACCGGCGGGCAAATATTTTAAACATTGGACAGGTGGCGGGCTAGTTACAAAAATTTTTAAAGTAATGGGCGGGGAAATTTCTAATATTTTCGGGCGAAATGAGTAGAACACTTGTATTAGAAATAATAATTTTACTGGATGGGAGGGCAGGCGGGTTAAAAAATTAAAACAAAGACTGGGTAGGCTTGTTGGCTAAAACCCGTGTATTGCAGACCTCTAACTTACACTACTACTTTGGAAAAGGTTACGGTATTGCTCCTTTTACCTCATCCCAGCATGAGCATCACCATTTGGGATATCAAAAATTAGTGACTTATTTTCGTTAATCAAATTTCGTTGAATTTTTTTTTGCATGAAGATTAATTGCGATTTTTAAAAGGGTATTAAAAAAAATGTAATCTGCACACGCTTTGGCATGCTAAATAATTGGGCCAAAAAATGTAACTAACTTGGCGAAGCTAGGGTGAGGGTATATAAATGGGAAATCTAGCTTTTATAAAATATTATATTTTTAAAAAGGTCACAATGCCCGTTAGAATAATGAAATTACTCGGCGTTGAATATTTATTCGTAACAAATTGTTGTGGTGGAGTCAATCCATCTTATAATCTGGGCGATGTAGTTGTTATTAAAGATCACGTCAATTTAGTCGGCATGACTGGGAACAATCCATTAGTAGGAGAAAATGATGACCGGTAATTTTATTTTGATGATTGGCAACTCTGTAGCTATGGAGTGGGGAGGGGCTCTAATTTTTTTGACCTCCTAAACTTGGTCTCAAATTTTTTTTTCTAATGGCCCGTGAAAAAAGATAACCTCAAAAAATTTCTAAGGGCCTGAAAGTTGGGGGAAAACTTTTTTAAATATAAAAATCCAATAAAATTGATTTATTTAAATAAGATCATAATTTTTTTGATTCAAATCAATTTTTTTATAACATTAAAATATTTTTATATTACTTTTCTTATGAGCCAGGTGGGGGGGATCTCCCTCCCCACTGTAGGAAAATTTTAAAAAATATATTAGGTTTTCATGAATTATTGTGAAGTATTCTTTTTCAAATAGGTTATATTCTATTTTAATTATAGCAAAAAGTTAAAAAAATTTATATTTCTTCCTTATGTATTAATATTTTTATCCACGAAAATTTGTAGCATATTTTTCTAAATTCCTTTAAACCATAAATACTAATGTATATAACAAAATTTTGTCAACAAAAAAACCAAAAGTATTTAATTTAATATGAAAAAATATATAACCCAAACCAAGAAATTATAAAAACTCATTCTTACACAAAGACTGCAAATAAGAATCTAAAGATAGATAAGGAGGAAATAAAGTCTTCAAGAGGTTAATAATCATTTTTAAACAGAATTTGAATCAGAGACCTTCATAAGCCTTACCAGGCACGGCCCGGCCCATATTTAATGTTAAAAAAAATCCCAAGTCTGGCCTAAGCCTATAATAAGTTTCACAAAAATTTCCCAAGCCAATATAATTTTTTTTTATTTAATGAAAATAAACAATATTTAAATATATTTAGGCAATCATGTTTACAATAATAAAAATATTATTAGAAGGGAAAAAATCAATATTATATTAAATTAGCAACTGTTTTAAATAAGCTAAATTTAATAATTTTAGGCTCAGCCCCATTCCATTAAAGAAATTTTTTAAATCTAGGCCCAGCCCAGACCCGCTAGAAAATATGATATTAGACCCATCCGGCCCATGCCGTGGACCGGCCTGGCCCATGAAGGTCTCTGATTTGAATAGAATTTTTTTTAAGATTTCTTGCGCTACAAAAAGAAAAATAACTGCAAAATGTATGCCTTACACGATGGGGATTTCGACATCAAGCTGTTATTCGCAAGCCTCGACTTGTAGCTAGGCAAACAATATTTTCAATATTAACATGGGAATTAAGGATTATTATAAAAATAAATGTTTTTATTTCACTTATGGATACATTTTTTTACTCAAATTAATGAACAATTTGTGATACATCAAATGGTTTGGTCAAATTTATAAATGTTTTTATAAATCTGTCTTAGTATATATTAAATCTTAATATTGAAATTAAATATTTAACTCAATTTTATTCAGAGGATATAAATGAATCTGATAGTTAATTAATTTAAATCATGACATGAAAGATTAATTTTAATTAATAATCCTTCAAAAACGCTATGGAAGCATTGCATACTTTAAAATATAATTTGTAATTTTTTCCATATATATTAGAATTACTGTATATTCTGACGGCAGTACCAATTAGTATACAAGTATAAATGAGAGAATATTTTCTTTATTATAAAGAATAAAACTTTATACCAGAAAATCGATTGAATGGACTAGCTTTATTTAATATTATTTTAAAAAATTACCCCTCCCCACCCCCGTAGAAAATTCTTTTCTACGCCCCTGAATATATAAATGTTTTATTATTTTAATTTTTACTAATATTTTTATATAAATTGCATGAATTAGTGTTGTTAAATATTTTGATATTAAAAAGATTAAATCACAATAATGTTGTTAAACGGCACGATTTGGTTCGATTTTTAAAAACGTCCTGATTACGATTTTAGCCAAAATAATATTATGTATGCCTGGAGATTTTGATCATAGATGGCAGAAAGGTTTAGACCTCTATTTGCCAAATATCGAGGCTTACATAGTATTTGGTTAAAATCTTAATCGGGCCGTTTTTAGAAATCTACCCAAATCGTGCCGTTTAACAACATATTATGAATTTTATTTAATATCAAAATATCGAATATAACATTTAAATAAGAGCAAATCCTAATAGCTAGGTTCGGAACGTAAAATGGTTTGATTATAAAGATCTAGACTCAAGAATCACAATCTCGTTTCGACATTATATACAATATTTATTTCCTTTTAAAATTTATGCCCCCTCTCAAAAAATGGTTAAATCGGCATTTTACAATATTTGTCCAACTTTTAAAATTTTGCTAACATGTTTGTTGGCATTCTAGTGTCACTCTAAATTAATCAATAATTGTCATTTGCATGAATAGAATTTTTGTTTTATTAACCTTAAAATTAAAAAAGATATTTTTTGAAAGAGGTGAATATGAATGCTTATGATAAATATTTACCAAAAATAAAACATAGATGGGGAACCAGATTTCCGCATTTATTCAATGCTTACGATTTCGATATGCGAATGAAAATTGCGAAGGTATGCCAAAAATTAGATTACCCATACAGAGAAGGGGTTTATTGTATGAATACTGGACCCACTTATCAAGCCAAAGCGGAAGGTCGTATGCTTCTTAAGGTGGGCATAGATTTAGTAGGTATAATATAAAAAATATATATATTATTTTTTTGATATTATCATCTTGTTGAAAACACATGATGGCTAGCTAGGATTAAGAAAACTATTTTAAATTAAAATAGAATTAAATTGAGTTATTATATATGCACAATTTCCACTTTATATGATATTATTTTAGAATATAAAATAATATGAAATAAGTTAGTAAAAATCGCCATACTTTTATAAAAGGTATGTAGAAATCACGATATATTTTATAAAAGGTCATACGAATATTATAATTAATTTTATAATATATTTTTATAATTAATATAACTTATTTATATTTATTATAATTATAATTATTATATTTTAATTTCATTTTATTTTAATTAATATTAAAATATATTTTTAATGGTCAAATTGGCGATTAAATAATATTTTAGGTTTTAAATTTCAAACTATTTTTTACTTACTTATAAAGAATAATATTATGTTTTAGTATTTTATACACGGTCTTTTTAGTTAATTCATCTCTTGAAAAATATAAAAACTTACATTATTTCCCTCAGTATAAAAAATTATAACATTAAAATTTTTTAAATACATTACAAATAGTGAACAAATAATTTTTTGCTTATTTTATATTTGTCAGAATTAAGTTGTCAAATGAACACTAATTAAAATCTTATCTATTTTACTAATCATTTTACTTTTTATTAATCATTTTATTTTTTACAGGGTTAGAAATTTTTTAAACTGGTGTCAATAAAAAGATCTTTAGACTGCTAATGATTCTAAATCTTAAGTGCAATCTAAGATTAAACTCTTTAATTTTTCTAGCATAATATCGACATTTGAATTTAATGACTAATTAAATCATTTTTTGGCATTGTTTATCAGCATATTACTAAATCTTAAAGGGGGGAGGGAGGAAATAAACCATTAAATCGAAATGAATTCGTATATTTTTTAATACCGTAACTCGTACTTGAGCCCTGCAAATTCTATATTTTTGACCCGAGTCTGGCACGAAAATTGTGTTATTTCGCAATATTATTTCAAGACAAAGTCAGGCTTAGTCATAAATTTTTAAGTGAAAATTTTTAATTAAACGTGTTTTTATAAAATTTACATTAAATAGAACACACTAATTGAGTTGTCTTAATACCAGAAAAGGTATTATTTTATTCTTATAAACATTTAGATGGAACTCCGGTTCAAAGGGCTCAGGTTTCAAATTTTGTTAATAAGCATTGAAAAAAATTTTAAACAATAAATATACTCTAAAATCAATATGTTTTGAACAAAAATATATATAAATTAGTTGCACCTTTTTAGAATTGGCTCGTGGTTCCAAGCTCTTATTGAAATAAATGAAGACATTCAACCTGTTTTTGTTATGTGTTAAATTAGAAAAGAAAATTGAGATAGATTGGAAATAAGTTTTAAGAGTCGTGTGTGTTAGAGAAGGACTAAGAGGTTGAGAATAATTGATTTATTTAAAGATAATATATAATGAATTTAATTAATTTAAAATTACAAATTTTTATATGAAAAATATAATAATTTCGTTAATACTAAAAATATTATGATCATTTCTGATTTTTTTTCAATATATCTATGCATATAATCTTTTCAATTTGAATAATAATATTACAAACTATAATTTCTATACATGTTCATATAATTATAATACATTTCATAACTTTGAATAATCATCTATAATTGAACTTATTTCATATCAAATCTATTTTCTTTTTTTGCTTAAATATTAAAAATAATCGTTTGCATAATAATAATCATTTGCAATGCAACAATAAGTTCTTATTTTATTGATTTATTTTAAAAAATATTCAAAATCATTTATTAAATAATTCACAAATATACCAGAACGAATCCGTATATTTTTCTGAAAAACTGGAGAAAAACAAAAATTTAGAGCCAGAACTGGACCGCTTTTGATTGCATAATGGCTGAATATCTTAATCATGATCTTATATATTTACTCGTCACACTTTTGTTTTAAAATTTGATCAAAAAGTCTATTTTTAATTAATGTTTACAGGGATGAGCACTTTACCCGAAGTCACAGTAGCGGCTCATTGTGGAATAAAAGCCTGCGCTTTTAGTATTATTGCTTCGGCAATCAAATATGATGAATTCTCTTATGAAATATTAGAAGATGACGGGAGCGATAAAACCAAAAGTATACCATAATACTAGATTATAATTTTTCACATAGCAATTGATAATCAAATAGTTATATAATTTAAAAGATATTATTTATTATAATCCACAAATAATGCAATTAATTTTTAAAATTCATATTTTTTACATGTGATTTTAATCTTAGTTACCATACCATAAGTGCTCCGATGTTACGAATTGAATATTTTATTTACTCGAATAATATTTGCAAATATCAATTCATATTATTCAAATAAACAATTTCTACTCATACATTATCCTATTCATTATTGTCAATCTTATTTTAAACGAATATTCGGATATTTTTATAAACGTTTAATCATATTCTTTAGAAAAATACGATTTTTTTAACGGCAAATATTTAAATTAATAGTGGAATAAATATAATTATTGAAAGTCAGGGACAAGAGAGCGATATCAATAAATCGATCCTATTTTTTGAGAAATATTTAAGAAAATTTTATTACTTAAAAATTGTATTCGAATACGAATAATAACGAATCGAGTAACAAGAAAATTATTAAATTTTTTAATATTGTTAGAATATTCATTAGTATTTTTTATTTATAAAATATAAAGTGGAGAATGGTGCATCAAAAAAGACAAAATACGAGTATAAAGTGGCAAAAAACGAGATATCTATTGACCATGAGAGCGTCGTGAACTCGGGTAAAAAGGGTGGCAAAATTCTGGGACAAATTATTAATGATGTCATTATGAGTCTCGATTAATGTTAATACATTGGAATGATCAGTTCATTTCGTCATATTGATGTTTTTTGAATTAATTTTTTTAAAAAGTCAAAGTTTTCAACAATATAATTTATAATTATTTTTTTAATCAATGTATTTGATAAATATTCATTTTTTTATTGCATAATTAAAATAGTGTCATAAAAAAATCGAAGATAATAATTACCGTCTAGAATTGTTAGGCTTAATACCAATGCATGCTAAGGCTTTTGTAGGCTCTGGGAAAATATATATGACGATCCTTTAAAAAACCTTAATTAACCTAAGTCTCTAACCAAAAAAAAATTAGAAAAGAAACCCAGATAAGCAAAAAAATGGGACTACATTTGACATAAAAAGAAAAGAAAATAAATACATAACCAAAATTTGATCTAGATTGTTTATCCACTTGCTCTCCCTTACCTATTGTCCGTTCCTTATCATATTTTACCTTAGATAAATGCAAGAAATTGTCTTGGGAAATTATAAATTTATATGATAGAACAGTTATTATTTGGATGTTTCCATATTTCAAGCAAGAGCCAGATAAATATAAAAAAAGAAATGTATCTAATAAAATTATCTAAGAAAAATGAAGTGGTTATAAGTTTTAAAAAATTAGAAAGCTACTAACATCGTTACAATGGGACAAACAATTAGGTTTAACCTGTAAAATTTATCAAAGCTTTATCTATAATTGAGCTAGATAGTTTATTTGAAAATGAAAAGTTTTGACTGACCACATACCCTTATTTAAGAATTTCTTAATAAATATGAAAGATTAGAATATAAATTATACAATATGTGAATAAGGAGTTAAAGTTAATATCCCTTGATTATATTCCAAAACCTAATTATAATTATAATTTAATGATTATTAACATCTCAATTTAAATTTTTTTAATGAATGTAAATGAACTTTAGGTAAGATATACATGTCATAATTATACATATTTTGCGAATTTTGAGGAAAACTGGTCCTAATAGATAAAAAGTCATGGGGGAGGGAGGGCAGTCATTCTTTCCTACATAGTATTAATTGAAAAAAAAAAATATTTTTTTGATATTTTTTCAGAATGTGTTTTGTAAAAATTAATATTTAATGAAAAAATGTTGGTTATTTTTTATTAATAATACTAGCAAATTCAAAAGGAAAATGTTCTCCTATTTCTAAAAAAAATATTTTCTAAATTTAATTTTAAAAATGATAATATTTGCCAAAATACATTTTATCCTTCGGATATAAATAATATTTTTCAAGACTGTATGGTATATTTTATTTCTCTTTAATCTTCAAGCCTTTATATTTTCGTGTTTTACAATAAAAATATGGGGCATCTAAGACTCTGAAATAGTTACATAAAAACAAATAAAATCGCTTTTTATTAATAAAAATATTAAAATTTAACCCCTAGTCTGATCGTTAATTTTGAATCTGGAACGGCAAGATTTAATCTTATAAGACTTAATTGATTTTTAAATATATCAAATTAATCTAGATTATAACATTTGCCCAAAACTAAAAAATCTTCAATGATTTTAATCTCGGAAGATTTTTTGAGAATTTTACTTAAAATTCCAAATCTTTTATAATTAAATATTTATTTCGTGATTTTATGTATAAAAAATCTCATGATGAAATCACAAATTTTTGTAAAAAAATCTTCATAATGCATGCATAAATTTTTGTAAAATATTTTTTGATTTTCTTTAGGCGGCGGTGTCACAAATATTAAAAATAATTATTTTTATGGAGAAATGAGCAAAAAAATTGATTGGTAAAGGTTTGCCTTTGTTTTCGCACAGAAACTCTTATTATGAGCACAAAATACGTTTTTTTAATATTTTGTTATCATTCAATTCGAATAAAATATGTCAATACCCCTATCTTTCTAGAACAAATTCTTATTCCAAACGAACATTTATAAAAGAAAATATTTTTTTTATTAATCATAATTTATTCATTAAAAATTTATTAAAATGATTTTGTGATACAATGGTATTGCATAAAAGCATATTATTAAAATGATCGAAATAATTTTAAAAATTAATTTATAGCATAAAAATTAAAATATTTAAAAAATTTATTTAATAATTAATGAGCGTCATGGCTAAGTAAAATTTATATATTCCTACATGGGTCAAATATCCTCACAATCTTGAACAGATATCGATTGATTTAAAAAATATTATGCAATAATTTTATCAAAATCTTAAATTATTGTTTATTTACCTTCAGTGGCGTAGCCAAGATTTTATCATGGGGGGGGGGTTTAAAAATTTCGCCCCCCAAACCTATTTTTTTGAACACTTAATTGCTTATATTTTTGGATTTGTTAAAATTGTTTTATATTTTCATATAACAAAATTTTATATTATTTTATTATATATTTTACATTCCTTTATTTATTTATATTTTTATTAATTAAAATATTTTCAAAATGTTGATATTTTATATAATACAGATTTTAATATTAAAAATTATAATGTATAAAGACTCTATTTTAAAAAAAGTAATTTTTTACAATTATATAAAATATGTGTAATTCTTATGCAAATAATGGTATTTAAAAAAATATGATGATTTTATCTTATAAATAATACTTTTTTTACAAAAAAAGTTGATTATATATTAAAACTAATAAAATCTTATTGCTATTTTTTGATTTGAATTTAAAAAGAGATCTACTTTTCTCAGAGATTTTGCTAATTCACCTAGAATCAAATTTTTATCTAAAATAATCTCCTTGTTAATATTCAATAGGGCTAATCCATTTAAACGTTTTTCACCGGTTGTGTTTCTTAAATAGGTTTTTAACCTTTTTAAAGTTGAAAAAGACCTTTCATTAATGCAGGTACTAATTGGCAAGGTAGCTAAAATTAATAATGTTTTGATATTAGGCAGGGAATCTAAAATGCAAATACACATGGAAAGGGCCTACAGAGCATGTTTTGGTCTCAAAGAATACCCTATTCTGTCAAGATTTTTATACCAAAATTTGACATCACAAAGTAACTTATCATATGAACCTAATAAATCATCAGCATAAAACTCTGAGATTTTTTAAATATCCTCTCGTGTTTCAAGTGTAATCAACAGTTTAGACTCAACCGGCAAAAGAAAATAAAAGCTTTTTAAAATATAATTATGACTAATAAATCTTTCTTTTAATTGAAATAAAAATGTATCGATAAGGGGAATAAAAATGTTTATTTTATAAAAATCCTCAATCGTAGATGCATCAATATTTGATCGATTGGATTGTCTAGAGACTACTCTAGGTTTAAAATTTTCAATTCCAAACATATTAGCAATCTCCTTTACTTTAACATATATCTCATGAAATTTTTCATCCACATTCTCTCTGATATTTGTTGATATTTCAACAATATCCTTTGCTCTATTCATAATCTCCCTTAAATCCAAATCAATTTTTTGTAGCATTTTGCTAAAATCATATGTATAATTAAATAAAAAATAAACATATTGAATTGAAATTAAAAACTGTGGCTTAATAATAGCCTGCAAAAGATTTTCGGCATCTGCTGAATCTTTTTCCTTGCTTGATATATAAAATTCTAGTGCTGCAAAGACAACATCATATATTTCAATAAAGAGTTTCACCAACTCTTGTCTTTCGATAAATCTGGTCGGACAAAATCTTTAGTTTTTTTTTTGATTTTTTAAGTCAATATTATGATACGTTTGAATAAATAACTTCCTTTTTTTGGGTGGTGTGAAATAGCTGCAAACCAATAAATATAAAAATAATCAAATGTGTATATCTATTATTATTTATAATAGATTTAAAACATAATCAAGCGTTTATTAAGAATTTTTAAATTAAAATTAAAAAAATAAAAAAATTTCATGGGGGGGGGGGGGGGGTTGAACCCCCAAAACCCCCCATGCCTACGCCACTGTTTACCTTTGTATTTGAGAAAGGTCCAACTAATTATGTACATGCACATGCAATTTACATCTTTTAATTAATATTTTTTATATCAATGAACATTTCTTTTTAGTGTTTTCATGATAACATGGTAATATTCGTTAATATCAATCTTAACTTCCTTCATTAAAATATTTGATTCTATATTACTTTCCAAATCTTATAAATAAAAAATAATTCTCGTACATAAATAAGAATATGAGTATTCTTTTCTATAAAATGTCACAACTTTCTTATTATAGATATTTTTTTTAAATAGATAATTTCTATTATTTTTGATATATTTTTATGCAATAACATTGATGCACAAAATTATTATAAGCTAATAAATTTATTTAAATTTTTTTTTGATATTCCACTTTAGTCGACTAAACGGTTCCATGTCAATTCAGCGAAACTTTTATCGCGAATGGATTTTATAGCGAAACTTTTATCGCGAATCCATAATAGCGAATACTATTCCGCGAATGCATCGCGAAACAAATATCGCGAATTTTTTATAGCGAAACCTTTATCGCGAAACCTTTATAGCGAATACATTACCGCGAATACAATATAGCGAAACAAATATCGCGAATTTTTTATAGCGAAACTTTTATCGCGAAACCTTTAATGCGAATACATTACTGCGAAACTTTTATCGCGAATCAATAATCGCAAAAATTTTATAGCGAAACTTTTATCGCGAAACATTTTAAGCGAATACATTACCGCGAAACTTTTATCGCGAAAATTTTATAGCGAAATTATTATCGCGAAACCCAAATCGCGAAGACAATGTAGCGACAATTATTTCGCGAAACATATATCGCGAAGATATTATAGAGAATTTAGTATCGCGGTAATTGCTAATAATGACTAATTTATTTTGAATCATTTTTTTATAATTATATTATTTGAATAATATTTTTTTAATTCACATAGTTTGTAATTTTCTTATAACCTTAAAATTTTTCTACAATGATTAATTAACTTAGACTGGTTTATGAAATTTGTTATTGAAATACACTTTTTTCGCTATCCTATCCTTTTCTTCGAAGTTCTTAATTTATAATAATCGCGCACAAGGAACTCAGCTTTATCAATATATTAATCATTGAGTTTATTAGTTAAATCTTGATATTTATTGGCGAAATTGATATCTGGGTAGCATTCCTATTTATTGTCTGATGACTTAATATTATCAATCAATTTTGGCCAGGGTTAGCAAGTCAGTCAAATGACCAGGCAAATGACTAGATTTTGACGGGTCAATTGAACGGGAGAATATTTGACCTGGTCAAGTGGTCATATATTCTATAAGATCTGAATATAAAAATATGTTTGAAAAAGAAAAAACGATATAAATACATGTGAAATGTGATCACAATGCTTATTGAGTTCCTAATATTAAGGAGAGCATTTTAATCATAGTGAATTTAATGAAGTATGTAATATAATAAAAGAATTAGGCATACAAGATAGTGATCAAAATATTTCAAGCTATATCATAAATTTCAGAAATAAAAGCGGCTTGTTTAATAGAAAATCATGGGGATAGCAGTAGAAACAATCAGATTTCAAACTCAAGCAGTGGAATTAGCTTTGACCACCGTGGCCATTAAGAGAAGTGACATTACTAACAATTTCTAGATCTACTTCTTCTTCAGAAAGAAATTGGTCGATTTGTGTCAATAATCTTACTAAAACGGAAATCGATTGAAGATTTAGACAAAAAGAAAATTGATTAAAAAATATTAAAGAAAATGATGATATTCAATATAAAATAATATTTATTTGATTTTAACTATATTTGATCGGTCAAATGCACAACCGTGGATCAATTTTGAATGGCAATTCAAAAATAAATTACATCTAAGTGAAATAAGGGATTTCCCCAATTTAAAATATTTATTAATTTTATTATTTTCAATCTTTATAGATATCTTTTTATCTTTTCTGTTTATTTGAAGGGGGGGGGGGCGTGATAAAATTTTTAGTATAATAACTCGGCATTAATTTCAATTAATTTAAATATAATATTTTGATATGGGTTCTTATTGAATCTTAAATAATTTTAAAATATAATAAAAAAAATAGCTACACTAAAAATTAACAAATAATTAATGACATATTTGATAAATTATAACTATTTAAAAAAAAAGTATTGCCGAAATTTAAAAAAAAAATTTTCCCGTCTGGCTGGTGCCATTCCTTTGGTTATAAATTATAAATATTTTCGCCATTCTTTCCTCTTTATTTCGGAGTCTTATAAAATATGTTATCAAGCAAAAATAAGGAGATCTTAACCTTTAAAAATTATTTGTTCCGCCTGGATAAAGTAGTCTCAGATACTAATTATTATAGATGTATCAATCAGGATATTTTTAAATGTCCCGTACGACTCACAAAAAAATGGTAAAATAAAAGATAATAATGAAATACACAATCATCCAGAAAATCCAATCGAAATGGAAACCAAGAAAATAATCAATTCAATTAAGAATGAAGCTTTGAATAATACTATGGAAACTCCAAACTTTATTGTGGCGAAACACGTATCTCAATTAAGTGATTCTATATCAATGGCACTACCATCACCGAATCTTATGAAACGTATAATTCCCCGAACGCGGAGTTCAAACAGTTTTGCACCTCCGAATCCTAGCAGCCTTATTGAGCTAGTAATTCCGCATGAATATTCAATTACAGATAAATATGAAGATTTCATACTTCATGATGATGGTCCGGTAAGATTTTCTATAAATTTTTTGAACAAATATAACTAAATCCTTCATTTTTGTTGCGATAAGCTGCCCGATAAGAAACACTTTATTATAATTGCTTATTTATCATGTGTGTCAGGTTCCCGACCGTGTTATCATATTTGGAACAAGAAAAAATTTGGACTTCTTAGCTTCATGCGAACATTGGTTTTCTGATGGTACATTTAAATCGTCGCCACCTTTATTTATGCAAATTTATACAATTCATGGGATTAGAAATAATAATGTTTTACCTCTCATATATATATTGACCAATAGAAAGGATTATGAAACTTATAAAAGAATATTTACTATTATAGGTGTCAACTTAATATCAACTCCAAAAAAAATTATGACGGATTTTGAAATGGCCAGTGTAAAAGCTTTCAATGAAGTGTTTCCCAATTCGCAACACAAATGTTGCTATTTCCATTTTGGCCAATCCTTTTGGCGAAACATTCAAAAATATCCAGAAATATCGCATAAATATAAAACAGATGTAAAATTTAATATACAACTTAGAATGATGGTTTGTTTGGCGTTTATGCCACCCTTAAATGTAGTTGAAACATTTGAATTACTAATAAACTCCGAATTTTATTCTAATAATAAATTGTTACTTCAGCCTCTAATTGAAACTTTTGAAAAAGCTTATATTGGTAAAACGTTTGGAAGAGGCAGACTACCTGCTTTGTTTAATATTGAACTCTGGAATTGTTACCAATCAACACTGAACGGGGAAGCGAAAACCAACAACGCGGTTGAAGGGTGGCATAGATGCTTCATTTCCCTCCTAACAAGTTACCATCCAAACATGTGGAAATTTATATCAAGTTATCTATATATCTATTATTTTAAAATGATTTAAAAAGTATATAAAGATTTACTAATAAACTATATAATTTTTCCTAGGCTTAAAAAAACAACAAGGGTTGACAGAGTTAAAAATTGCTCAATATAATTCTGGTGAAACACCCTCTACCCCGAGAAAAAAATATCGAAATCTACATGCGAGAATAGTAACAATTGTTTCTGACTTCGAAAATCGATCAAGATTAGATTATCTTAAAGGAATCGCTATTAATATAACATTGAATGTTTAATTTTTTAAATTCTTATCTACAATAATAAAAATTTTGTTTGTTTTTATATAATAGTCTCAAAATTTTTATATTTTCATTATTTTTTTGTGACAAAAATATAGGATACTTTTGTATAAAATTTAGCTGGTTACATAAGACTCATTCATCAAGATATAGATTTTATGAGGGTATTTACAAATTCTTTTATATGTGTGTGACACATTCTTTATCTACCACATCGATCCCACGATTAATATTTCAAAAATAACTACCTTTCGTCATGCATTATAAAATTATTTTAAAATTCATATTCCTAGCCCTTGAGTCATATAGTTGTTTCCCCTTACAAATATGATCATTTTTGAGGAGCAACATTATTAGAAAAGTATTATTAAAATAATACTCAAGTATTACACTAAAGGGCAAAGTTTAAAACGAGGATTACATTTTCCTTTTATTTATTAAAGCATATAAATTTATATCGGGGTGTTTTTGTCAGATTTTTTTCCCATGGTTATTTTTAACCAGTCTTTGTTCAAATCAGTGATTCTTTTAAAAATTTACACTTCAGTTATATATTTAACAAACAAACCTATTGGTTTAGACGATATGTTATGACAATGCTCTACTTTTTCCTTCACATATTCAATAAAAAAAAAATTATTTTTTAAATAAATGATATCAACCCTCTCAAAACTTTTAACCTCCTGCCAAATATAAATAATTTTAAAAAAAAATACCTTTCATCCCTTTCCAATTTTTCAAATAATGATAATTATTTCATAACTAACTATCCCCCCTCTAATTTCAATGATGCTCCTCTAATGAGTTCGCAGTCAAGTTACGATATTGACCTTGCTATAAAAATTTGGGAAGAAATTGGTTGTATTAATTTTGTTATATAGCTTTAAAATTCCTTAAGGTTATTAATTATTTAAATATTGGAATTTGGTTAAATTTTTTTAATATACTATATTCTCATTTGATTTGATAACAATGTAAATGAGCTTGGGTGGCTTCATGTCATGTCATGAATAATAAATTAAAATACATCATTTTTTTTGGTTATATTTTTTAAAAATTATTTTCTAAATTTTTTTAATAGCTCAACCTATTCGCGGCTTGATGAAAATAATTAGCTATCCTAATTGATTTTACCATAACCAATCCATCTCATTTTGATATAACATTTTCCAAAGTTGCCGCAAGTTATGTCATCTGTCGGAAAAGTTTCCAAGCTTAATTTTCTTTTGTATAAAATATCGAGTTAGCCTTTTATCTTTATCCTCATATTTTGAAATAAGGAAAAAAGTTGATTTTATAAATAATGATAATTTCATTTAATTTTTTTATTATAATTGCTTTCTTTAGATTCTTTGTTCAATCTAAATTTGATAATTTTTGAAATTCTAATAACTTTTGGTTCATACTCAGGGTTGCCAGGTCAAAATTTTCAAATTGAGGGAGATGTGGGAGAAACATGAAAATTGCGGTAGAAATATAAAAATTGCTAAAAAAAATTTTTTTGCGGGCGGACTTCGGCCGGGATTTTGAATTGATTTAATTATCCGCCTATTATTTTTTATAATTAGTTATATAAATACAAAGTCGGTAACTATTTTTCAAAATACAATAAAATCTTGATTTATTAAATTATATTAATTTATAAAAAAAACCAACGATCTTTTTTAAATATAAAAAACGATTTTTATTTTACAATTAAAAATATATTTTAAGCGAATGTCCCTCAAAACGACCGCAATTGGAAATCTACCGTGTGTGTGTATAACATTATAGGGATAGGCGCTTAATTATCAAGTATCACGTTTAAATACATAATAAGGTACTCCAAAATAAGATATAATACAGATGCAACTACAGTTGCGGCAATTGTACTTATCTTGTAGTACAACATTCACAGAGATACTTATCATCACAATGTTGGTAGAATCTTTTTTCCATAATATTTAACGACTCTAATATAAATGAAAATTATACTTGTAGAACAAATGAGCAAGGCTATCATTAATGTTTTAAGACCTAAATCCAGGAGGTCAATTTTTGACGATTTGAAAGATGGGCATATATATGCAATTCTAACAGATGCATCTAAAGGGATTTCCCTTGATCTTCCGCTATTTCAACAAAATTAAGGTCATTTCAATAAAACTATTAAATTTTTTCCCCTCAAATAGTGAAAAATCCAAAGACATAGCTATCCATATAATATCAGATTCGAGATGATCAATAAATTGCATGTCAGCTTTCTGATCTGATAATGCCTCAGTGAATTTGGAAAAACAGAGTGTATTTACAGAAGCGAGTATACACAATGTTGGTTGCGATATGTTCCTAATATCGGCCATCGATAGAATTTTAAAATTTTATAAACCTTTAAAAAATATTTCTTATTGAATGGCAGAGGTATATTTAGGAATGATTTCACATGTAGAATGTGCAGAGTTGCAATCGGAAGAATCTTAACAAAGATTCACAAAATTATGCTGCAGATGTGTCCATCTTTACAGTTAAAAATTGACAATAAATTTTATGGCGCCCTTGCTAAAACATAATTATATTTTATTTGAGATTTAAATAATAGAACTAAATGTTTATCGTCGTTATTGAGATTATAATATTCCTGGCATGACATATTATACATTATTTAACCATTAGCTCGTTCTCTAATGTTGTTAAATCCGATTTCTCTCCTTTTTTCCAGGCAGTCCTCTTCAGGCTAAAAATGCGCTCGGATGAGTAGAATGAGGTAAGGAGAAGTTTTGGCGAATCATAAAAAATAGAGAGAATTAAAATCTTTTCAAATAAGACATCAATGTCTTTCGGTATTTTTAATATATTTATTAAATTACAAAAACCTTAATTGATGGTTTCTGTTCCAAGGTCATAATATTTATACAATTGTAAATAGAGTTATTAAAATCAAATTTTGATTGTAAATATTCTAAAATTGTCTGAATAAAAATATCTGCATTATTTAAATATGTATTAATTAGAGTATTATTTGAACATTTTAATATAATATTTTTAGCATTAGCGCCATAAAATTTATTTTCAATTTTTAAATATAGAGATGAACAGAGCTGTAGCATAATTTTGTGAATCATTTTTATTAAAGAATATTCTGATGGCAACTGAATATTAACTGCATGCAGTAGATTTCCTACATGTGAAAAGAATCCCAAATATACTTCTGCCATTTCATATTAGAAAAATTTTTTAAAATTTTAAGACAGCCTTTAAAATCTTTATTTAAGAAGTATTTTTTTAAGGGTTTGTAAAATTTTAAAATTCTATCGATGGCAGGTATTAATGACAACCACCTGATAGGTATATATCGCAACAACTCACACCATTCCAAGTCAGACCACTTCACCAACTCTTTTAATTCATTAACTCTTTTAGTTGAACTAAATTCGTTAAAATATTTCATCACAATTATTTCGACATCCACAGACAGTACATTCATTGCCTTCTTGCAAGAACTATGTAGTATATATGGCATATACAGCCAATTGGTAATAGTTCATTTGTGCGCCTCAATTCGGTAACTTTAGTTTTGTCCAAAATTTACAGAGGCATTATCAGCGCAGAAAGCTGGCATGCAAATCATTGATAACCTTGAATCAGCTATATTTACCCTTATGTGGCTAGCTACATCGTTGGATTTTTTACTATTTGAGGACTTTTTTTTAACAGTTTTATTGAAATGTTTTCTTGTTGAAATTGCAAAGGATCGAGGGAAATGTTTTAATATTTCCATTATTAAATACATTTGTTAGAATTGCATATGGATGCCCATCTTTCAAATCATCTAGAATTGACCTCTAGGATTCAGGTACTAAAACATTGTGATAGCCTTGCTCATTTTTATTGCCACAAGTAAGGTTTGCACTTATATTGGAGTCGTTAAATATCATGAGAAAAAGATTCTACCCACATTGTAATGATATATATAGAGCTCTGTGAATGTTGAACTACATAATAGATGTATACGATTTCCGCAAATATAGTTTCATTTTGAGAATATTTTTGTATTGCAATCGATGTTGATATACTCCCCTGTACTGACTAATATTAATGAAATAATGTTGATTTATTATTGGATAAAAATAAAACAGGATAGAAAGAAATTTACAAACTAGACATGTTTTTCCAATAAATATTTAAAATTTAATTTAAAAATATAAAAATAATCAATTAATGTCTCAAAATTATTATTTACATATTAAAAACGTTTAAAATACTTTTTTTTAAAAATCGCGGGAGAAATCAAATTGCGGTGTAGATTTTTGCGGGAGATTTCCAATTGCCGTAGTTTTGCGGGAGAGAGATATTTGCGTTTAAACTAAAAAATTGCGGGAGTCCCGCTGATGGGGAGAGACATGGCAACCCTGTTCATACTTAAAGGTTGCTACTGTCTATTTCTCTTATTAAAATTAGTTTTTGTTTATTGACTAGAAAAACTGATTGATGGAATAGTAAGTACTAATCTGGCATTTCTATGGCATGAGCTCACCCAAAAATATTTGTTTTTTTCGCATGTTGCCAATCGTGGCAATTTTATCTTATTTTGTCGAAAAACTATCTAATGAATTGAAGAATCAATGTAATAAATTTCAATTATTGATTTAAGTTCCAGATTAAATGCTTCCAGAAATTTGGTTGGTTTTACGCTTTAATGGGAGATATAGATTTTATTTCTCTTATAGTACGATTACCTTTTTGTGTGTGAAAAAAATGACTGAAGAATTAATAAATATTAGCGCAAACCAGCTATTTTCCATTCTATCAATAATGCCAAATTAGGCAATTTTTCTTATTTTGCTAATAAACTTTTTCTTTATACTGTCTCTTAAACGAATTAAATTATAATTAATACGGAACATCGATAAAATTTTCTGAATAAATTATTTCCGTCGCTTAAATCATAGATTTGCCAAAATTTTGTTACTAATAGTTTTTTCCTTTTACAAGCTACTATACTCGTTTAAATACTCAAT